TGTATCAAGAGGTGGGAAGAGGCATATGTGGAACCGCCTAATATATGGCATTATTGACATTACTGACACATTTTTAGATGCTAGTTATAGCGGAGGAACGTCAGCAGCGATTCCACGAAGTGAATGAGCGAAGAATATTGTCAATGACCCACATCTACAATCATTACTTGGAAGGGAGGAACCCCCACAACAGCAGAGAAACGAAGAATATGGTAAGTTTAATGAGTATTGGTGACACATAGAAATATAATAGAATTTATGTCGAATAGTATGAGACGAACATCCAAAAGATTTGGTGACAGCTGACTAAATAGAATATAATTGAAATGGAATAGTATATCACGTACGTAGTATAAGTCTTCTCACTATACCCCTATGTATGTATCCAATGAGAAGGATCTAACGTTCATGGCAAGGCAGATGAGTTTTTTTTGGCGGAAGACATGTTTTCCACTGACACGAAGCTGGATATAGGAGGAAAAAATGATAAGCTCACGTGAACACCTTTGCTTCAAGGCCGACTTTATTGAAAGTAAAAATTACCAAATATTTAGGAATTTATGGAGTTAGCATTCATCTCAAAAGTAAGTCATATATTATTCATTACCTCTTCAATTGTTTCTTACAATTGCCATATTTCTCTTGCATGAGTGTCTGCTTTGCTAAAGTCTTTCAATTAATATGGAAACTAACATAACTGTATAAAATCTTTTCAGAATACTGAAAATGCATCTTTGATGGAGCGCTGCAAATGTTTTGGCCAGTATGGACACAACAAGGCAGGTTGCCGCAACCCCATGTAATAAATAACCAACCAGAACTGGCATCTGAAGGTAGGTAGAAGCAATATTTTGTAACTTCGATGATATAATGATAAGACATTGTAGTAGAAAGATTTTGACGTAGAAACAACATTTTATAACATGTGTGATATAAGAAGAAGGTATTGTAGTAGAAGGACTTAGAGGTCGAAACAATATTTTGTAAAAGGCTGATGGTGGAATGGTTGCATTTTCATGAATACACACATATATGCTGAAATGACATATATGGGTGTATTTGTGATGTCAGCTCTGCATATATGTGTGTATTCATGAAAATGCAACCATTCCACCATCAACCTTTTACAAAATATTGTTTCGGCCTCTAAGTTATTCTACTACAATGCATTCTTCTTATATCACACATGTTACAAAATATTGCTTCTACGTCAAAATCCTTCTACTACAATGTCTTATCATTATATCACCGAGGTTACAAAATATTACTTCTACCTACCTTCAGATGCCAATTCTGGTTGGTTATTTATTACATGGGGTTGTGGCAACCTGCCTTGTTGTGTCTATACTGACCAAAACATTTGCAGCGCTCCATCAAAGATGCATTTTCAGTATTCTGAAAAGATTTTATACAATAATGTTAGTTTCCATATTAATTGGAAGAAGTTTCAATATTAATTGGAAGACTTTAGCATAGCGGTCACCCATGCAAGAGAAATATGGCAAATGTAAGAAACAATTGAAGAGATAATGAATACTATATGACTTACTTTTGCGATGAATGCTAACTCCATAAATTCCTAAATATTTGGTAATTTTTACTTTCAATAAAGTTGGCCTTGACGCAAAGGTGTTCAAATGAGCTTATTATTTTTTTCCAGCTTCATGTCAGAGGAAAATCTGTCTTCCGCCAAACAAATCTCATCTGCCTTGCCATAGACATCAAATCCTTCTCATTGGATACATACATATGGGTCTAGTGAGAAGGCTTATACTATGTACGTGATATACTATTCCATTTCAATTATATTCTATTTAGTCAGCTGTCACCAAATCTTTTGGAGGTTCGTCTCGTACCATTCGATATAAATTCTATTATATTTCTATGCGTCAACAATACTAATTAAACTTACCATATTCTTCGTTTCTCTGCTGTTGTGTGGGTTCCTCCCTTCCAAATAATGCATGTAGATGTGGGTCATTGACAATATTCTTCGCTCTTTCACTTCGTGGAATCGTTGCTGACGTTCCTCCGCTATCACTAGCATCTACAAATGTGTCGGTAATGTCAGGAATGCCAAATATAAGGTGGTTCCACATAGGCCTCTTCCAACCTCTTGATACATTAATGGGTGTTCTGAAGACTGGCACCACCATATCATCATCTGAGTTTGAGGGTGTTTCAACTCGCATTTTTTCTTCCCATTCGACATCACCACATCAGCCTCATTGCGTGGAGGATTATTTTGCACAGGATCTCGGATTTGAACTCCACCAATTTAATATGGAACAGACATGGCAGTTCTTACTTCTATCCCACGCATAATACGTGGAATAGAACGTTCAGGCACTTGATCATAGTTGGCGGGTGTATTCTCGTTTATCTGCGCCATGTTCTCTCTGTTCTCTGCAATTGCAAACTCATGCCACTCATCATCTTCTATGCCACCGTCCTCTCCCTCCTCGCAAGGTGCAGACATTTTTGGAAGCATTTTTGAAGCGGTCACGTCATGATTCGTTCCGTGCGTCTGACAAGTTAATGATACATATAAATTAACGGCCTCTATGGATTGTCTTAGTTCGATGAACACGGCCACTTCTGTGTCGTCAGTTATGTATTGCGGCATATCTAGTTCTCCACTCTCACCTGAGATCCAATCTGGATATTGATAAGATAGTTTCATTTTGAATCCCTTTAAACTTGGACATAGCTCCTCCCTCACTCGAGTGACTAACTCAGACATCTTCATACCCGTATAGAGGCCAATGAAATGGTCACATTTGGAACATTTTCCGGTGTTGAAAACCCATTGGTTATCTGGGTCACGGTCCCACGTACCAACCACGACTAAAACTCTATCTCCACTACTCATCTGCGAAAACAAGTAAATGTAGATTCAGTTACTCATTTATATCTATTCCATTATACAAGAGATAAAATTTTATTCTATGAAAAAAGACTCGGTTTTATATGAAACCCCTTCTATTGCAATAATCTGACTGGAATTTACCATATCTTTTCTCAAGTCAATCCAGATACTCCGTAAGTTGTTGATTAGTAATTCTCTATACGATATGTAGATTTACACTATTGATTAGTAATTCTCTATACGATATGTAGATGTACATTGTTGATTAGTAATTCTCTATACGATATGTAGATGTCATCTCTGCATCTCTATATGTAGAACTACTAATCAACAATGTACATCTACATATCGTATTCAAATACAGATACCAAGTTGCTATATATTTTAAATGGAATAGATGTACATCTACATATCGTATAGAGAATTACTAATCAACAATATATTGCAGTGGGAATCCAATCGTTTAGTCAGTATTATTGAAGTTGTTTTTTATCACGGCCAAGGGAAAGGTATGCAAGAAGAAAACATGAACAAGAAGTATGCAAGGCTATGTTAACTTGACAAACACTGGTACTATTTGTATTCCATTCCATATAGCATGAAAAACCCTAAACAACATAGAAATCATAATAGGAATGGAAATTTATAATTTCTATTCCATTCTAAGTGGAATAAATTAAAACCTTATGGATTTATTTATGACAACAAGAGAACTATACATGCGTTGGCCATCCCATAGAAAGAGGAATAAAACGATACTAAACCCAGAATGCAAACGTTTGGTTCCATTTATAAATAATATGAAGAAAGAGGAATAAAACGATACTAAACCCAGAATGCAAATGTTTGGTTCCATTTATAAATAATATGAACCACGATAAAAATTGGAAAGGTAGAGACCAATTTTCTGTACCCAGTCAATTTTAACAGTAAATTTTCCTATGTATTGCGAGTTTAAAATTTAGACGCCAATTTGATTAACAGATCCGCAAATTTAGTAGGATGACTTTGTAGATTTAACAACACCACAATCCTAATTCCTAGTACAAACTATAAAAGGAATTTACAATAACAGGAAAGTGAAGAGAAGAAAGAGAGAACTTACATTCCGGGCTGCCGAGTACAGACTTAGGAAGCTTTTCAATTGAAGTGCTGAAGTAGATGGGGAAGGTGAGTACGACGACGGAGAAGAAGAATTTCGCAGAGAAGAATACGGGTTCGAGGGATTAAATTGTGGTATTGTCGGAGATGTTTGGCTTTTCCCGAAGTTACTGGGATATGTGAAAAAAGTAGTGGAGAAGGTTAAGACACGATTTACAATGGGAAACCAAGAGAATAACTTAAAAATATTTTTTTTCTTCTGGTGAAAGCGATTGAGTTTAGGGACAAGACATTATTAAAGTATAAAACAAACAGTGTGAGTGTGTGTCGGTGAGGGTTTTTGATTGATAGGCCAATTATGTTTTTTTTTGTTATAGGGCTCAATTTCCCTACAACAAATGTTTGAATTTTGTCAACATTTTGAACTTTATGTTTATCTGAAAATTCTTTATTAGTTTAAGTAGAGATCAATCACACATTCTCTAGCTATAATATATATCGAACAAAACCTATTTTTTATATTGAAAGAAAGATAATAGTTGCCAAAAAAAAAGATAATAAAACATGATACATAGTTTAAAGTGAAACGAAGAGAAACAACACATGTTAATAGGTCTTAGGTTAACTTTTATGCTGAAACATATCATGTAGCACAGCCATTCTATTATAAACTAAATTATTTCAAATACTTTACGCAAATTGTATGGCAAAGTAGTTGCTCACAGGGAAAAAAAGTTATTATAAGGTTGCCGCTGATAATGAATCAATGATTCTTTTTCTTTTTTTTTTTTTTTTTTTTTTTTGACAAAATGAATCAATGATTCTTAAGATTCCTTCCTATAAATATTCAGTAGAAAGACAAAGAAAAGAATTTCCTAAATCTTATGACAAAAAAAAAAGAATTTCCTACATCTAGTATGTGCTGTAAAGGTCTAGTTGGTTGCAAAAAGTCAACATTTTAAAAGTCAAACTAATCGGTTCTGAAAAACCAAACAAAAAACTTTTTGTTTTGTTTTGGTCAATATACTCGTCCACGAACATTCATTTCTAACTCAAAAACCAAACAAGTTAAACACACAGACAAGAATTTCGACCGAAAGAAACTCTCTTTCCCTATGGATCCATCGGATTATTTCACCGGAAACAATCCTTCCGATCAACAGAACCAGAAACGACAGCTACAGATCTGCGGTCCTCGTCCTTCACCTCTCAGCGTCCACAAAGACTCTCACAAGATCAAGAAACCTCCCAAACACCCTGCTCCGCCGCCTCCTCAGCACAACCAAGCTCCGGTCTACGCTCCTCGAGAGCCGGTGGTTATCTACGCCGTCTCCCCTAAGGTCGTGCACACCACAGCCTCCGATTTCATGAACGTCGTCCAGCGTCTCACCGGAATCTCCGCCGGAGTCTTCCACGAATCCGGAAACGGCGGAGATGTGTCACCGGCGGCGAGACTCGCCGCGACGGAGAATGCTAGTCCAAGAGGAGGAAAGGAACCGACGGCGGCTAAAGAAGAGACGGTGGAGATAGCGACGGCTATGGAAGAAGCAGCTGAGTTCAGTGGTTATGCGCCGGGAATACTCTCGCCATCTCCGGCTATGTTGCCGACAGCTTCCGCCGGAATATTCTCGCCGGCGGGATTAATGAGTCCGTTTTTATTGTATAGTCCTGGCTATGCTAGCTTGGTTGCTTCACCAACGTTTGCTGATGTCTTTAGTAGTCATATTTGGGATCTTTAGAGAAATATTTTTAGTTTTTCTATGTAATTTTAATTCATTTTGACATATCCAAAGATTGAGCCCAAAGGGTTAAGATGGGAGGTTAGTGTCTTTGTAATGTAAAACCTTAACATCTTCATTCAACTTCAAAAATTTCAGACACAGAGAGATTCCTAGGCCTAAGATACTATATTAAGGAAGTAGTAGTAGTTCTAAGTTTCTTTCTATATTAAGGAATAAGTAGTAGTTCTAAGTTTCTTCATGTGGCAGCAACAGTAGAGTTCCAAGTTCCTCCAATCAATGTACCAACTCTCTCTCCTTTGATGGCTTTCGCGATGTTTCCAGGCTCAGATAGATTGAAAACCACAACTACAAGAATCACAAACCAAAAAAAAAATATGCTAGATGTATAAGTTTCTTCATGTGGTTTAAAGGTTTGAGAGAGTGTTGTTGAAAAGAGCAAACCTGGGATGTTGTTCTCTTGGCATAAAGTGATAGCAGTCATATCCATGACGGAGAGATCCTTTGAGGTTACTTCTTGGTAAGTTAGTGACTCGTGGAGGCGAGCGTTTGGGTTTCTCTTGGGATCATCGTCAAAGACTCCATCTACATTTGTTGCTTTCAGCACTACTTCCGCGTTAACTGTGTCAAAAAGGGGGAAAATTATGTTAATGAAAAAACATTGGAGAAAGGTTAAAACGGAGACCATTATTTTTTAACTTACTCTCAGCACATCGAAGAGCTGCTGCAGTATCTGTAGTGAAGAAGGGATTGCCTGTACCGGCAGCGAATATCACAACTCTGCCTTTTTCTAGATGTCGAATTGCTCGTCTTCTAATGTAAGGCTCTGCGACTTCCGACATGCGGAAGGCGGTCTGAACACGTGTTGGGATGCCGATGCTCTCCATTGTCGCTTGAAGAAATATTGCATTCATCACAGTTGCCAGCATCCTGTCATATTTTAGATGATCAAATGAGACCAAACACAAGATTAAGTTTGGAGTAAGAGGAACAAGAAGACTAGAATAGAAAGTTTTAAGTGAAGAATGGATATGAATATGATACCCGATATAATCAGCAGAGGAGCGGTCAAGGCCACTGCACCCAGCCCAGGTGGATCCACGAAAGATGTTTCCTCCTCCAACAACAATCGCAACCTGTTGTAAAAGCGTAAGAAGTTCAAGACATAGCATACAGAACCCAGACACATCATCCTTTCAAGTATGTTTAAAGCACCTCATGTTTCTTGTAAGTTTGAACAAAACTTAGTTTTCGGCACCACAGGGAATAATTAAAATACTTAGTGTATTATTATTTTTCCGTTTTAATCATACTTTGTTAATCAACATTTCTAGGAAACAGCTCAAAGAACAGCTGAATCCATCATTGGTTACGGTTACCCAATCACACTTGGATCAAAAAAAAATGTTTTAGAGAATAACCTCAATGCCAAGACGAGTCACTGCTGCAACCTCCCTTGCAATAGCCATAGTAACCTAGAAAATAAAAAAGAGCAGCAAGAAACTAGATGAGACATGTGAAGAAAGAAAAAAAGAGAACAGAAAAAAAAAGCAGAAACCTTTGGATCGATATTCTGCTCCTCGTCTCCAGCAAGAGCTTCTCCACTAACTTTAAGCAACACCCTTCTCCATTTAACCGGTGGTTTCGATGTTCCATCAAACGAAGGCATTCCAGGAAACGATGACCCACTGAAAATCACAGGCCAGAGTTAAGACTTACTTCAACCAATTGAAAGATTGGATTTTCAATATATTTATAAATCAAACTCTAAACCCTATAGCTAAAGAAGTATCTTCAGTCAGGCATTTTCACAAACACTTGGTGGACGTGAAAGGATAGGGACTGAAGATTAATACAGTACCTCCCGTTCATGGGCTCTGGAGTTAAACCATTGTTCGAAGACAGAGACGAAGAGCAGCTGATAAGCACACGTTTGCTGAAATTCTGTTCGGAGAAGAAGTTACGGTGGCGAGGCGTGAGAGGGACGAAAGAGGTTCGGGAAATAGAAGAAGAAGAATTTGAGATTGGGGAGTACGCAGTGAGAGGCAACGAAATCGCCATAGCCGGAGATGAAGGTGATGATTTTACTCTCAGAGATGGTTTTAGTAGAGAAGCGTCGCCGGCAAGATAGGAGGGGTTTTGAGTTTGGGAAGATAAGGTCTGGTTCCAATGTATATAAACTATTCCGTCACTTTCGAAAAGATCTATATTGGGCTTATTGGCCAGATAGCCAAATTTTAGAAGTAAATTAAGTATCTAGCAGTGATATTGACATAATGTAATATCTAACATTTAGCCTTCTTCTCATCCGGTTTTACCCCTTAGACAAACAGGTACCCAGTTACATGGTTTAAAGCAAACGACGTGGAGAATTTCAGTGGAGTTTTACAATCACGAAATTTATAAAGCGCGTGATGACATGACTTCAACAAATATGAAGTACATGCGAAAGACCGAAACTTTATTCACGTAACGGCGAGTTTAACTTACAACTATTACATATATTCCATACTATTTTGATAAATAACTATACTATATTGTATATTCCTAACTTACGTGACCTACCTTTGCATCGCCTTTATTTTGCCTTCTAGCAAGACCCATACCCCCTCTCTGAAAAATATCGTCAGTTATGGTAGTTTGTGATTAAAGTAGGGTTATAAAAGTACAAAACATAGGATTAGGGTTGGCTTACAGAACATTTGATTAACCCAAATCCAAATAGTTCATGCAAAANTTGTATATTCCTAACTTACGTGACCTACCTTTGCATCGCCTTTATTTTGCCTTCTAGCAAGACCCATACCCCCTCTCTGAAAAATATCGTCAGTTATGGTAGTTTGTGATTAAAGTAGGGTTATAAAAGTACAAAACATAGGATTAGGGTTGGCTTACAGAACATTTGATTAACCCAAATCCAAATAGTTCATGCAAAATAGTACAATATATTATTCCATTCCATTGTTGTACTATTCCATTTACGAATGAGTATATTCTCCAGTACATTTGAAGTGCCATGGTATATCGTTTTGAACATTCCATACGGTTATGTAGTTTACCATATCAAATTATATTACATTTGTAAGTTAGATTACTACAGAAGGTATTGGGGGTGGGTTAGTAAAGACCCATAGCCCCTCTCTGGAAAAAAAAAAGTCGGTTGTGCTAGTTTCTGATTAAAATAGGGTTATAAAAAATTATAAAACAGAGAATTGGGGTTGGCTTACAGAACTTCTGATCAACCCAAATCCAAATAGTTCATGCAAAATAGTACATTATATTATTCTATTTCATTATTGTAATATTCCATTTACGAATTAGTATATTCTCCAGTACATTTGAAGTGCCAGGCTATCTCGTTTTGACCTTTTTTCTTTTCAGTGGATTCACACCTTGTCGCTAAAACCCTAAAAGAAACTATTAACCCTAATCCATATATTATTCTATAAAACCGTAATCTTTCATATCATAAATCTTCCATAAACTAAATCTAAATACTAATCACTAAACCCTAAAAGAAACTATTAACCCTAATCCATATATCATAATATGCACATAGTACATAACAATGACGTGACGAAACTCAGCATGTTGATAAACTGATGTACTATGTAGATTCATATTTGTTTCTATAAACCCTAATCCATATATCATAATATGAACATAGTAATTAATATCATGAAATTAAGCATGATGGTAAACTGAAAAGCTGTACATATATTATTCCAGTCTAATCCATGTCAAATAGAACAAACGTAAATGTCAATATACTACATATGTTCATTTCCATTCGGAATGGAATGGATTTATACCATGGTCAGCTATAGTGGCAACCTCATTATATACTAGGTATGCAATCTACCAAACATTATATACTAAAACACAAGACAAACTTGTTATTACTAAAGTAGATATACAATGATGTAATCAAAGTAAACATGATGGTAAAGTGAAGCAGGCTGGACATATAATATTGTAGACCAATCCATATGGAATCGAACAACCGTGAATGGATACTACGGAAGTTCCATTCCATCCAGAATTGAACATACTACAACGTTCCATTCCATTCAGAATAGTAAACCATTCAAAATGGAATGGAGTATGTATCCAATCGAACAAACAGTTTATATATAGTAAATTCAGTGTTCTCTATCACGTATATTAACCAAAATGTCAACTGTATGGAATAATACAACCACTAAATATTAAACCATAATCGCAAATAAGTTAACCCTTAACCAAAATATAATCCATCAACCCAAATGTAAACCAAACACCTCAGGTAAACGCTACATCAAATGGAATGGAACATAATCAAATAACATAGTACGCAATGGTATGGAATTATCATAAATTTGTGAGTACATTTATTATGTTAATTTTGATCCCAGTTATAACTGTAAATAGAAAAAACTAAACTTTAATAAGTAATCCCTAAACCAAATATAACCCATATAGTCAAATATAAACACTAAAAATCATGAACGATGAACCAAATTATATACAAACAAAAGAACAAGAACAAGTATACAAACAGAAGAACAAGAACAAGTATCGAAGTCAAAGTAAACTGAATCCTAAAGTGTTATATACAAGCGATTTCACAGAAGAGGAAATAATGGAGACAATAGGTGGAGTGAAATACAACCTATGATATATATACAAACACAACCTATGATATATATACATCGGTGGAGGTAAGAAAGATATTTTTATTGTGCACCGATAATCATGTGGACTAAATTAAAACTTCTGTCATTAAAAGATGTATTCCATCTAAGTACCAATCTCAGTCATTCTGAAGAAACACTAAAGCAGAACGGTGAAGACACTTACGGATTATCTGGATTTACCTAAGAAAAGGTAAACTACCAGGAATGATGTTGTAATACAAATGGTTTAAGGGAACATTGATCTTTCCCTTATAGAATAGAATATTCTATATAATCTAATGGAATAGACATAGATCAGTAACTGAATCTATGTTAACGTGTTTTCATAGATGAGTAGTGGAGACAAAGTTTTACTCGTGGTGGGGGCGTGGGACCGAGACAATCTAGGTGGAAGGCCTAACTCGTCCATGTCAAACCTAGCATCAACAAAAATAAAGGGAAAAGAGTGAGAACAGAAAAGGTAAACAAGTATGTCATGCAAGAAAGCAGGAGGATGTAACCATACTATGTAGGTTATATTCCATTCTACCGTGGATGGAGTAGATTAAAAGAACAATATAATGAAATATCTCAACCAATATATATATCAAATAACCTAAAGCAGTGTCATGAAAAAAGCATGATATTAAACCGTAAATTATGCAGTTCAATTGAATACAAAGCAGAGTTATTTTGTACTTTCCCATTTGGTGAGAGTACAAATATTCCATTCTAGTCATGATGTAACTATGTGAAAGCAGAAGCATAACATTCTACTCATGAAAGTGGAAGTATCAGTTTTCCATTCCATATAATATGGAATGGAATAGGTACATCACATAGAACAAGTGTCAGCTGAACAAGTAATTTACTCAACCAAAACAGTTATAACTAAACCCTAAAACAAAGTATTAATCGTAATACATATATCATAATACGGCCATACTACTTAATATCAAAAATCATCAAAAGAAAAAAGCCATTTCAGAATCAGAACCGAGAAGTATACCATTCTATTCATGACACTGAAAGTATCCGTTTTCCATTCCATATTATATGGAATGGCAAAGGTGCATCGCATAGAACAAATTGGCAATTGAACCAATTACTTTACTCAGCTAAAACAAAGATAAGTAAACCCTAAAAAAAAATATTAACCCTAATACATCTATCATAATACGGCCATAGTACTTAATATCAAAAATTATCAAAATAAAAATGCCATTAAACGAAACCTAAACACTAATCACGAAACAATTGCCATATCATAAAGCTTCCATAAACTAAACCAAAACAGTGATAACTAAACCCTAAAAGAAAGTATTAACCCTAATATGTGTCTCATATTACGCCAATGGTCCTTCATATCAACATTATGAAAATAAATAAGACATTATATGGAATGGAAGAGGTCCATGACATAGAACAAAGTGGCAAGTGAACCAACTACTTTACTCAACCAAAACAGGTATAACTAAACCCTAAAACAAAGTATTAACCCTAATACATATATCATAATACGGCCATAGTACTTAATATCAAAAATCATCAAAATAAAAAAGCCATTAAACTAAAAGTGTAGAAACAGAATCGAAACACTAATCACGAAACAATTGGCATATCATAAAGCTTCCCTAAACTAAACCAAAGCAGTGATAACTAAACCCTAAAAGAAAGTATTAACCCTAATATATGTCTCATAATACGCCAATGGTCCTTCATATCAAAATTATGAAAATAAATAAGACATTTTATGGAATGGAACAGGTACATCACATAGAACAAAGTGGCGAGTGAACCAACTACTTTACTAAACCAAAACAGGCATAACTAAGCCGAGTAAAACAAAGTATTAACCCTAATACATATATCATAATACGGCCATAGTACTTAATATAAAAAAATCATCAAAATAAAAAAGCCATTAAACTAAAAGTGGAGAAACAGAACCGAGAAGTATACCATTGTATTCCTGGAAGTGGAAGTAGCTGTTTTCCATTCCATATTATATGGAATAGCGAAGATGCGTCACATAGAACAAATTGGCCAGTGAACCAAGTACTTTACTAAACCAAAACAGAGATAACTAAACCCTAAAAGAAAATATCAACCCTAATACAAATATCATAATACGGCCATAGTAATTAATATCAAAGATTATAAAAATAAAAAAGTCATTAAAGTAAACCTAAACACTAATGACGAAACCAATTGGCCTATCATCAATCTTCCATAAAATAAACCAAAACAATGATAACTAAACCCTAAAACAATGTATTACCCCTAATATATGTATAATAATACGCTAATGGTCCTTCATATCAAAATTAGCAAAATAAAAAAGCCATTTAAGATAACCAAAACACTACTCAAGAAACCATTACATAAACTATAAACCCTAATCCATACAACATAACACTGACGTAATGAAACTAAGCATGGTCATAAGTTGACAAAGAAAGATGATTGAGATTCGATTATATCAGTCATTCTGGAGTACAAATAT